TCCTCACCCTTTGTCTTCATACCCTTGGCTGAAACCAATGCTCAGATAGCATCAACTGATCCCATACCCAGGGCCAGCCACTTTTGTTTATTTCACCTTCATAAGACAATATCAGGGTAGCTTGAGGAATCTTCGGATTATTGCCGGCAATCGGACAACACATTAAGTCACATTAATCCACTCATTTTCCTCTCGGTTCATTGTTTCCTGCTTGTACTGCCTCCTCGCTCCTCACTGGCTGAGAAGCCGAAGTGGCGCTGGCTTTCCCATTGGCCGAGGTGCGCCAAAGTGACTCCAGCCAATCAGCACGAAGCCAGCAAGGGGGTGAGGGGCGGGAAGTTTGAATTTGACAGTTCTATATTACTATAAATATGTACGCTTTTGCCCTACCAAGCATGTCAGCTTTGGCAAGGGATTGCGGTTTGACATCCGTACCAGCTGAGACGAAATAAAGACAACTCGGCGGCTGTTCTTCAACTTGGTGAGACTTTTATTGGGAAAAGTTAGGGAAAATTCTTTGGGTGCTTCTTTCTGTCTCGCCAGGGCAAACAGACTCTCCTTGGTGGGTCTGATCAGTCTCTGCTTCCTGGCAAAGACCTTCAAATTCTTGCTCAATATCACTGTGGGTCCCCAGGTATTTTGACCTACAGCTCCCAGAAATCCCGGCCAGCTTACCAGCTGTTAGGATCTCTGGGAGTTGAAGGCCAAATCAACTGGGGAATCACAGGTTGAGAACCACTGACCTAGAGCAGGAGAGTAGTCCTACATATTTGCCTGAAGGAGATGGGCGTCCCTCTGGAACAAGCATAGCTAGCTCACAACAAGATACTGTTCTTTTATCTTTCTATTTCCTGATTCTGCAAAAATTCAGCCCAGAAGACACAAAAGGGAAGATTACATTATGTCTTGGCTAATTAAGAAGTGGCCAATCTTCTACCCACAGAGCACTAAAGCTACAATGACCCTGCTCTTAAGTCCTTTGGCTTTTTGTGTGAGGAACTGAATGGAAAGCATTTTCACATAGGAGAATTACATTGGATTGCTATTGTTATTGCTGCTGCTTTATTTTTCTTGTGTCTGCTTCTTCTGTAAATAAAAAAAAAACAAGTGTGCTTGTTTTCTTTTCTATGTTTTATCTCATAATAACAAACATTTCCAGAAATAGTCAATAAACATGCACCATGTGCAAAAATGCTCAGAGGCAAATTGGCAGCTCTGACATCTCCCAAGTCATTCCCCACTCCTTTCTTTTCCTCTTTACACAACACTTCTGTATAAACATTGGGCAGCTGCCTTGGAAAGGGAGCCTTGCAAAACCTGATGGTAATCTGACAATAGCAATAGGAAAGACAGGAACTGACCTCTCCTTGACCTTATTCTCCATAAGACGGAAGAGGAACTTCAGGCTCTCTCTGGAGGAACACTTACTTTACCTACATATCTGAAGACTAAATCTCAAGGAATACATGCATAGGAATTACTTCAGAGCATCTAGAAAGCAACTGTAAAAATAACAAAGCAGAGGACACCAAATCACAATGCTTGACTTGCTATGAGGCATGTCCATAGTATCTAATGCTTAATAGTGAGCAGAAACTACCAATGAGGCAGCAGAGTACTGAATAGGAAGGCCTGCAGGATGCTGAAATTGGGCATTTCCCATCTCTCAGGTTGTAGTATTTGTAGCCATTGCCCACTAAGCCAGATTGATCAGTGCCTCATTTACTGGGAACTCAGGTGATGATGCCATCATCATTTTTTAAGGCTCTATAGTTTTTTTTAAACTTTCTCCAAAAATACATATATTCAGAAACTAATGCATACAGTTGTACATCCACATTTGGCAATTTTGACTTTTTCAGATTTGATTATACAAGGATTTGATTAAAACTGTTATTTCTAGGAATCTCTAGGTCATCCAGTGTGTATCTGTGGTCAACCTCTTCTTGTTGTTGTTGAAAATCAAGACCCCAGATTCCATGACCAAGAGGGACTTGACCAGATAGCCAAGGTGGGTTCCACAGGTTGACATTCAAAAATTGCCTTTTCCACATATACGCAGTGGCATAAACATACCTGGACCGGACTCAGGGATAATCCCATCACTCCTCCAGGCAGCTGACACAATTGTCCAACACTCATCCTTCCTGGCCAATAATAACCCCTTCCATCCAACAATGAATTAATCCCTAGACAGCGTGAAAGTTCATCAAGTCACCCATCACCATATCTTTGTCTCTCCCTGAGAACCTATCAAGCTGCTTCGGCACCCATTGTTTCCTCAGCCAGGAACCATGTGGAATTCAAGCTGAGACAATTAGAATAATTAAATATCATCAACTCCTAATGTTGCCTACATTCCTTTCCTTAATTATCTAAAGGAGGTAGATACAGAAAATGACTTCAAGCTTCAAATGGAGCAATAGCAGTTTATTAAATTTCCTGTCAGATCAGGGGACCAATCAGCAATAGTAATGCATCTCCACTAATCTGTGTGCAGATCATAGCTTGAACCAATCAGTGCCCAGCGCAGCAAAAGTCCATTCTTTACATTACTGTAAAGTCTCTATAAACATCTCTGTATTTATGCATTGCCTTTATGTCTGATTTGGGAGTTCTTTCTCCCTGAAATCCACTTTTGGCCATAATGAATAAAACCTTTGAACTTGCTTCACCTGTCATATTTAAATAGAGAAGCTATGACTGAGAATAAAAGGATCCATGCCCAGCGAGCACAAGCTATACCAAATGGGCCAGGACAGAGAAATACTCACCAGGTTGAAGACAAACCACAAAGGTTTATTCAATTTGATCAAAAGGGATGTGAGTACAAGCAGATGCTCCAAAGTGTACAAGCATAAATATATAGAGAAAGCACAATGTCTTATACACTTTGACTTTTGGAAAATGGAAATCTCCATAACCTTTGGAAAGGCATGACCTTGTTAGAAGTCATCCTTTTTGGAAAATGGCATTCATGCAAGGCAATTAGGTTTCTCAGCTGTTAAACTGATATCCTAAATATCTCTTTGAACTGTTAAGGAGAAAGATATGAGAACAAACACAAAACAATATATGTGTAATATCAAAGTGTAATATCAAAAGAGCATATAGCATGCAATTTACCAAAATCCCCAGTACATAGCTCAATTCAGTGGCACAAAGCACAATCAAAAGGAGTAACCGCTATCAAACGTAACAGTTCTATGTCTGAATAAGGATTCCACTGTATATAGGCTTCAGGGATACATTCAATGAGAAACAATTATATAAACAAAGTAAGCATTGAGTCATTAGGCTATATTTGTTCTCTCAGGCTGAAAAAAAAATCTTTATTCAACGTTTTTCACTTTCACAGGATTCTTGTGCCCTAACCCCAGAAAAGTAGAGGGTTGACTGTGGTAACATTTTGATGAAAAGGATTCAGCTGCTTCTGTAAGTCTCCAAGAGAAGTACCCTCCAGTAATAGGGCTGCTAGGCTGAATGCAAGACATAGCTCATTATCAGTTATGCAGGAGCAAGAAGACATAATGAGGCAGCCTTATTGTTGTGGAAATGGGAATAAGGGATATGCTACCAAATAAGGAAGGTGAGGGGGGGGGTCCCGTGTGCAAAAGTTGAGTGCGGGGCTCTGTGCAAAGGTTGAGTGCGGGGTGCAGCCCCTGAAGGAACCATGTGATTTCCCGGAAATCACCTGATTTCAGAGAAATGAAACTTTCGCTTTTCAAACTGTATATAAGGAGCTCAAGCCRGCTAGAGGGGGTCCCTTCCTTAGAGARGCCTCGTTGCGTTTGGAGGAGACCCCATGCAGCTGCATTMAAATTCAATAAACTGCTTTCCTTTGGATGAATCACGTTGTCCGTCCCTTTGATTCCTGCCTGRGCTCGCTCACCGGTTGCAAGCCAAGCTTTGGCTGAGGGCCCTATTGGGCAAAAAGGTCTGCTACATTTCTGGTGCCYTGACTCGGATGGAGTAAGACGAGCCAAGGATCAAGGGGCGGATCCTGTTGGCAGGACGATTCTTGATCAGCGCCGAGGACTGGAGACAACCACCGTGAGCCGAGTAAAGGGGGCTCCCAGCTGACCGGTTGCGGTGCTTCTCTCTTCTGTCCACGTCGRTGGATCAAGGTAATCGCAACAACACAAATCACCAGAGAAAACCAGGCGGGAAGGCCAGGAGGGATCCTAAGGAGGAGGAAAAAGTCCAGGGGCGAAGGTTGATCCAACGTCTACAATAATCTGGCGAGTATTAGTGGTTAAATAAGACACTAAGGGAACATACATACCGGCGCCGGGAAGGGAACCACTAAGTCTCCCATTGGGTTGGTGGGAGGAAAGAAGGAAGCCCTGCGGTTTCTGACGCGCACCGTCGAGTGTCCGGGCGCTCAGGCCAGGGCCAAATCCCACCTAGAAGCCATGGGAGGGGGGAGTTCAAAGCCAATGTCCCAATTGCAGTGCATGTTACACCATTTTGACAAATTTGTGGCAGCATCTAGTCAAGCAGATCCAGGAGATTTTAAGGATTACAGGTTAAGAAATTTGTGTACAGGCGAGTGGCCCACGTTTCCTTTTGATTGGCCCGAAGAGGGAACTTGGGATCTGAAGAAGATTAGACAGGTAGAGGAATATTGTGCAAACAATCACCCAGACCAGTTCATTTATATTGCCACTTGGGACAGTGTTGTCTCAGAAAATCCGGACTGGATAAGAAAATGTAAACAAGAACAATGTATGGCATTCAAGAAGAGAGGAGGCAAGGGAAAAGGGAAGGTTTCGTCACAAGAGGAAGACCAACCCGAGGCGGCAAGGAGAATTGTTAGAAGACCAGCGGCCCCTGCAGTGCCTAATGCCCCTTCACTGCCAGTCGCTCCTCCATTACCACCGCCACCACCCCCACCTTATCATGGACAGGGGGGAAATAAAAATTCATCTTTGAGATACCCAGACTTGTCGGCCCTTCAAGTTGGAGAAGGAGGACAGATTGAGAAAAAGTCCAGTAGAATGCCGAGTGATGCAAGCCTGGCCCAGACCAGGAGCCGGGGCAATTTGGCCCCTTCGTTTGGGTCGCCCATAAATGCCCCACTGGTTGAGATGCCAATCCGGGAAGTTCCGATCCTCAATAGTCAGGATCAAATAGTGAGAACATATCAAGTGGTCCCGTTTACCAGTAGTGATCTATTAAACTGGAAAAATTCCACCCCTCCGTACTCGGAGCAGCCCCAAGCAATGGCTAACTTATTGGAAAGTATTATGGCAACCCATAATCCCACCTGGCAGGATTGCAAACAATTACTCCAGGTTCTGTTTACTACTGAGGAAAGGAGACAGGTGATCAATCAGGCAATACTACTGGCTCAGGCACAGCCCCCGGCGGGGACAGATGCAGTGGTTTGGGGGGTCCAATGTCTCCCGATTGAGGTGGATCCCCAATGGGACCCCAACAATCCACAACATAGGGTGGACTTGAAAGTATTTCAGGGCCTTTTGGTGGATGCTATAAGGCACAGTCCACCGCGCCCTGCAAACATACTCAAAATACAGAGTGTCAAACAAGAAAAGACAGAATCCCCTACAGCGTTCTTGGAAAGATTGGAAGATGCCTATAGAAAATATAGCCCCTATAATTTGGAGGATGACAATGGAAAGAGGGCATTGGCACAATCTTTCATTACACAGGCAGCAGATGATATAAGAAGGAAAATCCAAAAACAACCTGGGTTTTTAGGGAAGACCATGAATGAGTTATTAGCCATAGCTGACCAGGTCTATATGGCTAGGAACCAGGTAGAAGAAGAAAAGAAGAAGAGGGACAGAAAGGAAGGATACAAGACTCTCCTAACCATGATGAATGATAGAACAGGAGAAAAGAGAGGCAGAGGACGTGGAAGAGGAAATGGCCGAGGAAGAGGAGGAACCGGAAGACTAGGATGGGATCAATGCGCTAGATGCAAGAAATTTGGTCACTGGAAGGGGGAATGTACAGAGCAGGTGATTGGTGGCCGAGGAGGTCAAGAAAATGGTAGAGGAAGAGGCCGAGGACGTGGCAGAGGACGCGGAAGTTATACACCYTACCAGGAAAAGGAGGCAATAGTGGCTGCAGTGGTGGAGGAAGAAGGATGGGAGGACATAGAAGATGGTGAATGAAGGAGCCAGGCTCTTGTTTTGTTGGACCCCGGGGAGCCAATGGTCACTGTAGAAATCGGGGACCAACAAATTGATTTCTTGGTGGATACAGGGGCTGAAAGATCAGTAATAAACAAGCTAACGAGCCCACCAAGTGATGAAACRACTCGAGTTGTAGGGGTTTCAGGAAAAGTCCAGAAATGCCCCTTGCTCCAGGAAAGGACTTGTAATTTGGCTGGACATAATGTGAGTCACAAATTATTATACCTCCCGGATTGCCCTGTTCCCCTCTTGGGGRGAGACATTCTCTCTAAATTAAAGGCACAGATTCAATTTATTAACACCGGCCAGATGGAATTGACTATTCCAYTGGAAGAGGAATGGAGGTTGTTTCTCATAAGACAGGAAGCATCAGAACCACCAAAGGTTCAGTGGCCGTGGGAGAGGACGCCTTTGGTGTGGGCAGAAGATAACCCGCCCGGCCTGGCTAAATATGTACCCCCAGTGGTGGTGGAAGTAAAGAAAGGAATGGGGCCGGTAAAGAGGCCCCAGTACCCTGTAAGTCGGGAAGCATCAATAGGAATACAGAGACACATAGACAGGCTACTGGAACATGGAATAATTATACCTTGCAGCTCACCCTGGAACTCTCCCCTGTTGCCGGTTAAAAAGCCAGGGGGGGAGGGCGAATTTCGCCCTGTTCAAGACTTAAGAGCAGTGAATCAAGTCACTGTTCCTTTGACCCCGGTAGTGCCAAATCCATATATCATGATGAGTTTAATACCCGCATGGACGGCGTGGTTTACTGTATTGGATATTAAAGATGCGTTCTTTTGTATCCGGTTGGCTCCGGTGTCCCAGCCGATTTTTTGCGTTCCAGTGGGACACCCAACAAGCCGGCCAAAGGGCCCAATATATGTGGGCTCGTCTCCCTCAGGGCTATCATAGTAGCCCGACGATATTCGCACAAGCACTGGCTAAAGATATGGAGGAATTTGAAATTCCGGAGGGTGAAGGGGTGTGGCTCCAATACGTGGATGATCTGCTGATAGCCTGTAGGACAGAAGTTGGATGTAGGCACTACACTCTGAGAATGTTGGAAATATTAGAAGAAAAAGGATACAAAGTGTCCAAAAAGAAGGCTCAATTGTGTCAAAGAGGTGTAAAATATCTAGGGTTTGAAATATCCGAGGGACATCGGTCGTTGGGGGTCGAAAGGAAAAAAGTTATATGTGCAATACCAACCCCGTCCAGCAGGAGGCAGGTTAGGGAATTTTTGGGTTCAACAGGGTATTGTCGGCAGTGGATCCCAGGTTATGCTGTATTGGCCAAGCCTTTGTATCAGGCCACCCGAGGGAATAGAGAAGATCCATTCCAATGGACAGAAAAATGCCAACAAGCCTTTGAAGCTTTAAAAGAGGCTTTGATGTCATCACCAGCCCTGGGCCTACCTGATATGGAAAAACCCTTCATTCTGTTCGTATCGGAGCGAGAAGGAGTAGCAGTGGGCGTACTCACCCAGGCTTTAGGATCATGGCAAAGACCAGTGGCATACTTGTCAAGACAACTAGACACAGTAGCGCAGGGAATGCCACCGTGCCTGCGGGCTGTGGCAGCGGCAGTAGATTTAATAAAAGAAGCAAGCAAATTGACTTTAGGGCAGCCACTGGTCGTAAAGGTACCACACCATGTGAAGGCATTGTTAGACACCAAGGGACCACGCTGGCTCACAAACGAGAGACTGACTAAGTATGAGGGGGTGTTATGTGACAACCCGATGGTAACCCTAGAAACTTGCGCCACCCTGAATCCGGCTACCTTGTTGCCTGCCCCGGGGGAGGAAATGGTCCACCAGTGCATTCAGGTGATGGAACAGGTATACTCCAGCCGACCCGATTTAAAAGACGTACCAATGTCCAACATAGACATGACCCTATTCACAGATGGCAGCAGCTTCGTGGAGAATGGTGAGAGGCGTGCAGGGTATGCGGTGGTGCAGGGGGGGGGAGAGATTTTGGAAGCAGAGTCGCTCCCTCCGGGAACCTCCGCTCAGCGCCCTCACCAGGGCACTGCAGTTGGCAAAAGGAAAGCGGGTCAATGTCTACACGGATTCAAAGTACGCTTTTACTACGCTTCATGCCCATGGAGCTTTGTACAAGGAGCGGGGACTCCTTACGTCGGCTGGAAAGGGCGTTAAGAATGCAGCTGAGATTGTGGCCCTTCTGGAGGCGGTTTGGGAACCGGATCGGGTTGCTGTAATGCATTGTAAGGGACACCAGAGGGGAGAAGATCCAGTTACGCAAGGAAATAGGTTAGCTGATTTGGCCGCAAGGGAGGCAGCAAAACACCCCCGCAATAAGCAGTGCCTGCTAACTGCAACTGCATTAGAGGACCCCCCCATTAGAAAAGTTTGCATATACACAAGAGGAGGAGAATTGGGCCTTGGGGGGAAAGGAAAATGGAAGGGAGAGGTCATCGTGATGCCAGATAACCGCGTCTACGTCCCTAAGGACATGGCGTGGCACATAGTCCGACACATGCATTACAATACACACCTGGGTAAGACGGCCCTGGCAACGTTGTTGGGACGACAGATGTACATCGATGGGCTCCATAGCTTAACGGCAGCGGCTGCACGCAGGTGCTGGACCTGCGCCAAGAATAACCCTCGAGAAGGACCCTTAAAGCCCCCAGGAGTTCAACATGTAGGCAACATTCCGTTCGAGGCAATTCTGACTGATTTCACTGAAATGCCTCCACAAAAGGGCTACAAATATTTGCTTGTTTTTGTGGACACTTATACTGGGTGGGTAGAGGCATACCCGACCCGTACTGAAAAGGCGGTAGAAGTTTCTAGGGCACTGTTGAGAGACATAATTCCAAGGTTTGGAATACCATTGGAAATAGGATCTGACAACGGTCCAGCCTATGTACACAAGGTGGTACAGGGACTATGCCAAATATTAGGCACCAAGTGGAAGTTACATTGTGCCTATAGACCCCAGTCGTCAGCCAAAGTTGAAAGAATGAATCGGACTATAAAGAATGCTATATCAAAAATCTGCCAAGAGACAGGGCTAGGATGGACTGTAGTGCTGCCCATGGTGCTATTGAGAATAAGATGTACCCCCCATAAAAGAACAGGTTTGACCCCCTATGAGAGACTGTATGGAAGGCCACCACTAAATTTGAGGTCAATAATAAACAAAGGGGGAGACCAACATGTGATTGGAGACAAACAGACGATTCAACAGTTGCAAGCTCTGGCTGGGACAGATAGAACAAATAGCTCAATATACGTCAGAACTGAGCCCACCTTATCCTACCACACCTTTGCATTGTTTTTCGCCAGGTGACGAAGTGCTCATTAAGGAGTGGAAGATTGACCCGCTTGGACCAAAGTGGAGAGGACCCTATACTGTGCTGTTATCAACCCCTACCGCCATCAAAGTGAAGGAAGTCAAACCTTGGATACACTACACCCGTGCCAAGTTGGCGCCCCCTGTGTGGAAAGTGGAAAAAGCGGATCAGAGTGACCTGAGACTCAGGATCGTCCGGCAACCCCCTACGGGGTCAACAAGGCCATGAAGCTGACCCCATCGGGTACAACAGAACGTCGAAGGTCAAGTATGTCGCAACAAAAGCACTATCCTGGAAATGGTGGAAAGACATTGTGATGGGAAGGGGAGGAGGAGGCACCAGAAAACCAACAGGAGTTCGGACAGTATTTGGGTTCCTAATGCTCTTATATATGAATATCCAGAAAAAACAGGTGACTTATCCTTCCTCCCAGCATTAATAGAAGACCCTCAGGTGGTGCTTGGGGGATTGCAAGGAAGTATTCAAAATCCCACTATGTTTTCCCAGGTTCCTGATGGACTAAATCAAGCCAGGTTTAGACGAATAAGATACACTGCCACTACGCGAGGAATGTGTTTTTGTTGTGGAAATAAGGGTACATGGAATCAAAGGTGGAGAGATTGGGAACGCAGAAAAGCCTTCCTAATAGGGTTAAAGAATTATACTTACTGCACAGATAGGTTCTATCTACATGGAACCCATAATTCTACCTATACCAATAGACAAAATTTGGCAGACACAGATTGGAAAGAATTATACCCCGAATATCCCATGTTTGATTCAAATTACACTACCTTGAATAGTGGTGGTAGTATTTGTTCAGGATGGCAAATTAGAGATCCTAATATGTGGTTTTTCTTTGACAAATGGGCCACCAATTACCATCCGGGAAGATACCAGTGTGTTGGGGTGGGATATTTAACATTCCCTGTGAGAGTTCTCAGACACCCCAAAACCCTCACAAGACTTCGAAGGTCCCTACAACCCGTGGCGCCTTTAGGACCCGAGTGTTCAGACGAAGTGATCATAAACTCTCCCTTGTCTGACACTGAGGGCGCACGGGTGGGAGGGGGATTGATAACAGGAGTCCTGACTCTCGGATCCTACCCAGGTATAATTGCCCAAGAGAATAGAAAAAGTATTCTAGGGCTCACGTGTAGATTAGAGAAAAGCATAAATGCCACCGGAAAAATAGTTAAACAATTACAATCTGAAATTGAAGAGCTGAGCCAGATGGTGTTACAACACAAGTTGGCCCTGGATTATCTGCTGGCAGCAAAAGGAGGATTTTGTTCTATAATAAAGGGCCATTGTGTGGTTCAATTTCATGATCTCAACCAAACGATTGAAGATGATTTAGAAAAATTACAAGAATTAATAAATCATAATGTAAAAGAAGATGGGTGGAAACCTTTCTCGTGGTTGACCTCCTGGCTCCCTTCAATATCATGGCTCAAAGAGTTGATGTTTATAATCATATTATGCTGTGTCATTTTTCTATTGCTAATATGTTGTTTTCCAATTATGCTCCAAGCCTGCCAAAAGTGTATAATGCAAGTAACCCCAATAAGAAAGATAGGCCTCATCCAGAAAAAAAGTTGGAGGGACCCATAATAACCTTTGCTGATTTGCTTTCGCTTTTGTAAAACGCTTAGCAAAAAAAAATAGAGAAATGAGGCAGCCTTATTGTTGTGGAAATGGGAATAAGGGATATGCTACCAAATAAGGAAGGTGAGGGGGGGGGTCCCGTGTGCAAAAGTTGAGTGCGGGGCTCTGTGCAAAGGTTGAGTGCGGGGTGCAGCCCCTGAAGGAACCATGTGATTTCCCGGAAATCACCTGATTTCAGAGAAATGAAACTTTCGCTTTTCAAACTGTATATAAGGAGCTCAAGCCCGCTAGAGGGGGTCCCTTCCTTAGAGATGCCTCGTTGCGTTTGGAGGAGACCCCATGCAGCTGCATTGAAATTCAATAAACTGCTTTCCTTTGGATGAATCACGTTGTCCGTCCCTTTGATTCCTGCCTGTGCTCGCTCACCGGTTGCAAGCCAAGCTTTGGCTGAGGGCCCTATTGGGCAAAAAGGTCTGCTACATTTCGGCAAAGTTTCCAGGAGCAGGAAGGCATTGCAAGGGGTCCCTGAAAATGGTAGCACCCAGGTTCCTTTATTTTCTGTAATCACAAGCAGCTGCTTTTAACATGCATGCCTCTGTTGTTCTGCTCTGCTGCTCTTTTCTTCCTGGCTCTGTGCATGCTCTGAATCAACAGCACACTGGACCACTGTCTCTCAGCCAAAAGAACTCTTGGCGGCTTACTGTTTATTATTGTTACAGCTTATTTACAATTACTTACAGATTGGATAGTCACAGCAGGAGATCAATGGTAAAAGAAAGAGAGAGAGATCGCATGGTCACCACTTTTAACAGATTCCTTATCTGCAGTCACCACCCACGGATATGATGCCCCTTGTCTGGAGGTGCCATCCTGGTCTGGCCTCTCTAGGCACTCACTTAGCCACCTTCTCACTTTGATTACCTGGTGCTACTAACCACATATCTTCAGAATGTTTTGCCCTGTTATATAACTCCACCATTCCATTAACACCTGGCAGAACTATGTAACATCTCTATATAGTAACTGCTACAAGAATTGTATATGTTCAGACGTGGAAGGAGTTGGTTATCCCAATGCTAGAAGAATGGCTGGTGAAGATCTGTGAGAGAGTAGAAATAAACAAATGACTATGCTGATCAAGGAAACTCTTTGACTAACTTTAAGAATGATTGGGATCTGTTTCCTACCTTTTTACAACAGTGATGGTGGTATTTACCAAATGTGTGATTCATGAATTAGTACAGTGCAGTTTTAAGTATAAATGTTATTAATATATTGTTTTAAGGGAGTATTTAAGTGTTTTAAGACCCCTTCCCCCAGCACCAACTGTCACTCTGGGCCAGAGTGAAGAGAGGGGAGGCCAAGGGACAGTTGCACCTTGTCTCCTGTGCTATTCTAATAATATAATATAATATATTGTATATACATATAATATTTATAATATTATAATGTAATGCAATATAATAATGTGATATTATATTTATATTACATGTAATATTACTAATAATATTATGATATAGTGGTATGGTGCAATACAGCAATGTTTAATGCTGATATTGTACTATGCCAGTAACATAATATAATATATTGTATGTAATATATATCTTGTAAGCCACTCTGAGTCCCCTTCGGGGTGAGAAGGGCGGCATATAAATGTCGTAAATAAATAAATATACTAATAAGGGATAACAACCATTGGATAGAGAATGGGAAGTGTGTAGGGTTTTTAAAAATAACTGTGTAGTTGTAATATATAATAGTACTGTATAATCTTGTAGTTTTATATATTGAGAATAGCTGTGATTTATTTTGTGTTTTTCTTGAATAAAAACTATTTTTTTCTCCTCTCATCTCCCAACCCATGTCTATTCTCCATTCCTAAAGCTTGGAGGCACTGTGTCGATGAAAAATACCAGTGTTGTGCCTTCAGCTTGCATCATGCTATACGAAAATAAGCAGATGCTTCTTGGCCACTGCAGCCTTGCATTCTCCCCCAGTCAGTAAATGGCCAAGTTTGGGAAGGAATGAAGGTATGGAGTGTATTGTGCAATTCTCTCCTGAGTAAATTAATGCCATATCTTTCTGTTACAAGATCTGATAAATATTAACAACATAGAAGTTCTGTCCTGCATTTCAGCCCTGTCCCCTATTCAACCTGGCGATTCCAATCACTGCTTTTTAAGGGCGTGCTCTTTTAAAGCTGTCCAAGGCTGATCATTTTGTCCAGTGTTGTTATGGCTCCCTCCAGTGATGAGAAGTAGAGCTGTAGAACGAAAGGGAGACTTGCATTTTTATCAGGCAACACATCCAGTACAGCTCTGGACAAAATACAGCTGTGGGTCCCTGTGTGGTCTTCAAGGCTATTTTTTTTTTTTAGCCTCTGAACCACTCAGATTCCATATAACCACCCTCTCTGGAAAAGAGGAGC